AGCAGCTAATAGTGGATCCAAATCGGATCTGTGATAAAGTGAAGCGTCTTCGTGGCAAACAAGCCATCCTTTGCAGGAATGAGCCCGACTTCATCCGTAAGATCATATCGGGCGCCAAACTTGGCATAAATGAGTGTCAGAATCAGTTCAGAGATCGCAAGTGGAACTGTACCACTGCCTCACCCGCTATCCGCAAAATATTGCTAAGAGGTAATCATCACTTTTGTTAATCCTATCAATAATTTCATTAATATATTTGTTTCATAGACTCGCGAGAAACAGCATTCGTTCACGCAATCACTTCGGCAGCCATTCTCTATGAAATCACTAAAGTTTGTCACTAAAGTTGTTCATATATTATGTTAATTTGAATTAATGTTAAGAATGTGTTAAATAGGGATCAATATTGTGCTCGAAAAGTGATTTCGATTGGAGGGGATGTACAGAGAATATCAACTTTGGCTACAAAAAGGCCAAAGAATTCATGAACGGAGGCTTCCGAAGAAGGAATGACATCAAGAAATTAGTTCTTCTCCACAACTATGAAGCCGGAAGACTAGTCAGTCAACGCTCTATTCATTAATAGTTGACAATTGTATTAATATTTTAATTGATTTTCTGTGTTTTATGTGAAGGCCGTGAAGAATAATATGCGAAATGAGTGCAAATGTCACGGAATGAGTGGTTCGTGTAGTTTCAAGACTTGTTGGAGAAAATTACCACTTTTTAGAGACGTCGGGAATCGACTCAAAGAGAAATTCGACGGCGCTATCAAAGTGATGGCCGGCAACGATGGCAAGGGATTCATAACAGAGGGGACCACTATTAAGCCGCCCGAGAAGGAGGACATCGTCTACTCGGAGGAAACTGCAGACTTTTGCTCGCCCAATCCACTGACCGGTTCATTGGGAACGAAGGGACGCGTCTGTAATAAGAGTATCGGAACGGATGGCTGTGATCTGCTTTGCTGTGGTCGCGGATATAAGACTATCATCAAAGCCGAAGAAGTGAACTGTCGGTGCAAATTCATGT